GCCCGCTCGTTCTCCTCAGGCCTGAGCGGCGGAGCGCCGAGTTGATTCGGGATCACGTCAGCGTCTCGCGGGAGTCGGAACCCGTGGCGCCACCTAGAGGCTGCCTTGGTGAGCGACAGCCCGGACTGTGACCAGACACAATTTAGGCTCCTGCTTGCTGCTGGAAGGAGGGAGGAGTGCCCATGCCCAGCGGCTCAGGCTTCAAGGTGTGCCTTCGAGACTTTTGGACCTGTTCCTCCATCCTACTCACCACGGCTTCCGGTGAAGGAGTGTTCTTGTCATTTTGCAGATGTGGAAACTGAGGCTCAGCTCTTACATGGCTTCCTCCAATTCAGAATTCACGAGGCAGGCAGAGTGATTTTTTTTTTAAATTCCGTTCTATCTTATTTTCTTGAGAGAGGGTCTGTCTATGTAGCTCAAACTGGTGGCCTTGTACTCTGAATCTTTCAGCTTCTCTAGTACTGTGATTACAGGCATAAATCAACCACCATGATCTGTGTGTGTATGTTTTGTTTTGTTTTAAGATTTATTTATTATGTATACAGTGTTCTGTCCAGAAGAGGGCACCAGATCTCATCACAGATGGTTGTGAGCCACCATGTGGTTGCTGGGAATTGAACTCAGGACCTCTGGAAGAGCAGTCAGTGCTCTTAACCTCTGAGCCATCTCTCCAGCCATGTGTTTGTGTGTGTGTGTGTGTGTGTGTGTGTGTGTGTGTACATGTGTTTTAAAACAAGATTTCATGTAGTGCATGCAGCTGATCTCAAACTCTCAAACTCAATATGTAATGGAATAGTGACCTGGAACTTTTCCTGCTTCTGCTTCTATCTTGTATCACCATGCCTGGTTTATTCCATGATGGCAACTGAACCTAGGGTCACTGAATCGTAGACAAACGTGTGTGTGTGTTATGTGTGTGTGTTCCAGGGTTTCACTATGTAGCCCAGGCTGGCCTCAGACTTTCAGTGCTCCTGCCTCATTCTCCCGTCACTGTGTTTGAGTGGCGGCTTCTATGCATGTGGTGTGTGTGCACATGTGAGTGAGTACCAGCAGACTCCAGAAGACCGTGTCCCTTGGAGCTGGAATTGAACCCAGGTCCTCGGCAGGAGCAGTACTTGTTCTTAATTCCTGAACCATTTTTCTAGCCCCTAGTTTTTGGCACTTCTTTTGTTCACTGCTCTCTCCTCAGTGCCCAGGAGTGTTTGGAACTGAGTTCATGCTCAATAAATAAATACACGTGGCAGGACTGAGTGGGCAGGTTGTCAAAGTGGAGCATCTAGGATTTGAACCCACATCTTCCTAGCTCACAAAGTTTTGTCCCCCATGCCAACCCACGCTCTCATTTTATGATCTCCCATAAAGAACTTAGGCGATTCCATTTCTCAGTTTATGCACCTCTCTACTGTGAAAGAGGCTCCCATCTAGTTATGGTGGTTCATTTTCCCCTCATCTTCCTCTTCTCCACTTCTCCTGAAATCTAGCCTCTCTGGGCTTCAGCAGACTGCCTGTCCTGTCCCACACATGGCATTGTCTTCTGTGTGGATGTGTTTGCAATTTACAAACATGGTGTCACGTATCAAGCTCATTTTGTTATTTACATTTTTCTGTTTTTCCACTTGGTGATAATGGCTTCCACATGCATCCTGATGCTGTCTCTACTAGTCATAGGCATGGTACCAGTTGGGCTCCCAGCGCTTAGCCCCACAGGGACCCCACTCAGGTTGACCTCATGCACACATCACTGAATCTCCTGTGCAGGGTGGGAGGACTCCTCTTCCAGCAGGTGGATGTCCAGGCCATAGGACATTTACCCTGGCAACTCCACAGAGCTTGCAGATGCTCTCCTGAGCTGTGGTGAGTTGACATCCATCTTGAGGCTTCTGGCTTTTTCTCAGGCCCTGGTATCATCCAGTTTCCCAGGAACTGGCAGGTCTCATGAGTACAAGGCAGTACTTCTCTCTGTCCCTAACTTCCTTTGTTTGTTTGTTTGTTTGGGCTATTTTTTTCTTTTTGGCACTGGTATCTGCCTTTGTAACTCTTACTGGGCTAGAACTTTCCACATAGACAATGCTACAGGTTCTCCTGCCTCAGCCTCTTTGATGACGGGATCATAGGCCTATATATCACTACCCTGAGTTTTCTTCCTTCCTTCCTTCCTTCCTTCCTTCCTTCCTTCCTTCCTTTCTTTCTTTCTTTCTTTCTTTCCTGTCCCACCCTTCTTCCTTTTTCCTTTTTCTCCTCCCTCTTGCTCTTCCTTATTTATTCATGTATTTGCTTATTTATTCTGCGTGTGCACACAAGCATGCATGTGAATGCATGTGCCCTGGCACATGTGTAGGTCAGAGGAGGACTCAATGGGAGTCAGCTCTTTTTGTCTACCCTGTGGCTTCAGGGGGGTCTACCTTAGATTGTCAGGCTCTGTGGCAGATGCCTCCCGTCTCTCTTCCCTCCCCCTTCTTCTTTTGAAGATTGATATTTATGTGTATTAGTGTTTTACCTGCATGCATGCCTGTGCATCACATGTGTGCCTGGTATCTGTAGAGGTCAGAAGAGGGTGTCAGATCTCCTGGAACTGAAGTTATCGATGGTTGTGAGTGGCCATGCGAGTGCTGGAAACCAAACCCCGTCTTCTGGAAGGGCAGCAAGTGCTCTTATCCTCGGAGGCACCACTCTACCCTGTCAGGGGCTTTTCCCATTGACATAGCTCACTCACTGGTCTCAGTGCTGAATACTTCTCATGCTAACCCAGTCTTACATCGTTGGGGAACACCCGATTGGATCTTCAGTTTGTCTTCATCATCATGCACTGTTCTTTGTATGGAACAAAATTCATTCTGGAAACAAAATTTGTCCTTGAAGTAAAGTACACATTATGTATATATCACATCAGCACTCCCTCCTCAGTTTCAAACTGTACAGTTCCGTTATGTATTCACAGTATTGTGCAGCAAGTCTCTAGAGCTTTGTAATTCTGCAAAATAGAAACTCAGTTCTTAGTTAAATAACATCTTCCCCATTACCACCCCACAATTCTACTTTCTCTCTACAAACTAGCTGTTCAGACACCCCAGTAATCAGGATCATACAGTATTTTTGAATGTGTATGAGTGTTTGCCTACACGTATACATGTGCATTACATACATCTGGTGCCTACGGAGGCCAGAATCCTCTGTAACTGAATTTACAGAAGGTATGAATTGCTGTGTGGGTGCTGAGAATCGAACCCCTGCTCTCTGAAAGAGAAAACAGTGCTCTTAACTGTTGAGCCATCCCTCCAGTCCATACAGTATTTTTTCACAACTGTATTTCTCTGAGAATACTGATATGCTTATGGAAAGTGTGTTCAGTTAGCTTAATTTGTGGATATGCATGCTGGAGAAAGAACCTAGGGCTTCTCACATGCTAGGCAAGTTTTTAATACTGGGCTCTAGATTATACCCTCAGCCTCTAGATTAGTATTTCATTACTTTTTCTATCTAGTTCTCTTTCCTGCTGCGGCATATACTTATTTGGTTCATGGATCAAAGTAAATCAGCCATGTTGATCAGCTTTCTTTGCTGTTTTACTTTCTGGAACATAAGTACAGCAGACCACTTTTTACTAAAATTTGATTATAGCTTGCTTGTATGCTTTCTGTGTTGGTAAAAACAAACAAGCATGTTTCCCCTTCCCTTCAGAAGCCTTGCCCCTCTCTGAGGACTTCTTACTGGGAGATGAACCAGTACAAATATGAGAAGCATTTAGCACCTGGGACTCATGGGAAAGACGATAATCCTCCGGGTATGGTGACAGGCTGAAGACACTGCAGAGGCCTGGAGACTCCGTTACCTGTGAGAGCAGGAAGGTCTCACAGCTGTTGTTTACAGCTAGATTCCCGCGGGGAGAGAAAGACCATTTCACCCCCTAACGTAGCTCTTTCCCTTGGTACTTATGGGCACCTATTATGTGCGATCACCCATAGGCCCACCCAACCCCACAAGCTGTTGGGGTTCTCATAGGAATACTGACCTTCAACTCTCTTTGAACGGGTAGGGTTGGAGAGGGGACGGCTAAGCATGTCCAAGCAAGTGGTCTACCACTGAGCTACATCCCAGCCCAGTCCTCTTCCTATTGTTTTTAAGACAGGGTTTTATGTACCCCATGTTCGGCTATGTATAAACAAGGATGCTCCTGAACTCCTGATTCTCTTGCTTGCCACCTTCAAAGCGCTGGGATTTTAAGTGTATGTCACCACACTAGACTTCTTTCCCTTTTTCTGAAGAGTCCAGAATCTTTATAAGTCATAATTTATGCTAAGTACGCAAAATAAACGGGTCAAAAGGGAATACGCGGGTGAATTTGTTTTTCGTTTTTCATTTTCCTAACTGGAATGCCATTAATAGGGCATCTACAACTTAAATGGAATGGCACCCAGCTTCAGTCCCAGTGAAGCCAACAGCACAATTGCTGGGGGAGGTCCCGACCGCGCCCCACTGGCCAATCAAGCCCCGCCCCTAGGCAGATTCGGGTCCCGCCCCCGGCGCCGCGTTAAAGCCGCTGCGTAGAGAGCCAATCGCGGCTCTTTTCTTCATTTCCTCCTTTTTTGGCTTCTGCCCTCAGCCAAAATGGCGCTTGCTCAGAAACTGCCGAGGCTATAGGAGTTGCCGAAGCAGGTCCGGAAGCTACCGAGCGAGTCCGGAAGTTGCCGAAAGAGAGCAACGGGGAAAGAGGATGGCGGATCTCATCGCAAGACTTCGAGAGGACGGGATCCAAAAGCGTGTGATACAGGAGGGCCAAGGAGACTTGCCTGACTTTCAGGATGGCACTAAGGTTCGTGTCCATCATTTCTCCCCTTCCCCCCATCTCTCTTCTGAGGTGCAGTGCGCATGCTAGGCGGGAGGAGGCCGTAGGTGAGAGGTTGCGCATGCCCAGAGAGCAGCCGTCAGTCACCCTACCTCTCGCTTGCCGAGCTCGACGCTGATTGGTCTGGATTTAAGTGGGAGTAAATTCAGATATATCTACCCCGCCCCTTGGCTTTGCTTTAGTACTGCATTGGACAGGGGTGGGTGTCAGTCATCTCAAACTGTTTTGGGGGAGGGTGTGAGTTCAGTAGGACCTGAAGGTTCAAAGTTCACGCAGTTTATGAGTAAAGGGCCTTCTAAAACCATCAAGAACAACTGTCATTATTTAGAAGGGAAGATCGAGGCCCTGGAACTCGAAAACCCAAAGAGTCCCAGAGATCTAGTTTTCCAGATCAAACCCCTGTGTCAACTTTCTGATAGTAGCATCGCGATCTCGTTTATATCCAGGCAGCAAGTTCAGGTGCTTCCTCCCTGAAACACTCCATATCTCTAGGCGTCCCTGCTCTGTTGCTGTCAACTCTAATCACTGTTGTGGGCTGATACCAGTGAAGACAAAAGAATTAAGTGAAAGTCTTCCCCAATGTAACAGCTTTGCTCTGGCAGGAGAGAGCTTCCCCAGCGAACTTGTTACAACTTGGCTCCTGTGTTCCGGAGTGTAGCAACTCTGCTCTGCAAGAGGAAGGTTTCCCCAACTAAAGAGTAACAGCCCTGCTCTGCTCTGTCTCTGACTTTCCCAGAGAAGTTTGTATAACATCTCTGTGCTGCTAGGGGAAGGCTCCTTCAGTGAAAGTGTTACAGCCCTGCTCTGCTCCTATGAAAGGTCTTCACCCAAACCGCATGTAACAGATTTATTGGGAGGGAAGAATCCAGGAGAGTGGCTGCCTCTTCCAGGGTGGAAGAAGAGCAGCAAGCCGAACAGGTGCAGGGCTTATATAGGGGTGGAGTGTGTCCCCCACCCCAACCTCCGAGAAGAGGGATTGGTTAGTTTTCCCTGCTCAGGGATTGGTTAGTTTGGTTGGTCAGGGGCACAGATGACTGATTTCAAGGCCAAACTGTGTTTCTCTCACTGACCATTTTTGGGGCCAGGGTGTATTTCTTTCACTGGCTCTGATTCTAGGGTCAAAGTGTGTTTCTTTGGCACTGGTTTCAGAGTCAATGTGTATTTCTTTAGGTCTAGGTTCAGGGCTAAAGCATTGCTTTCACTGGCTCGGGTCTCAGAACCAGGGTGGGTTTCTTTGGCTGGCCCTTTTACTCTACAGATTCTAGATGGATTAAATAAAATAAAGATAGAGAAATCTGTGAGCAGAGGTACCCAGTAAACAGAAACAGGCAGGGTTAAACCGTTATGAAGGGTTTGGAGGTGGGGGCAATCTACTGCTGGTGAGTTAGCTCAGTGGGTAAAGGACTTGCTGCCAAGACCGCTGAAGACCTGAGTTGGATCCCTAGGGCCCAGATAGTAGATGGTGCATTATGCACATATGTGCCCCCAGTTGAATAAATAAATGTAATTTAAAAATATCAGCAGGGTTAGGGATGTGACTTAGTGGTAGAGTACTTGTGTAAGATGTCGAGGCCTGGGGCTGGAGAGATGGCTCAGAGGTTAAGAGCATTGCCTGCTCTTCCAAAGGTCCTGAGTTCAATTCCCAGCAACCACATGGTGGCTCACAACCATCTGTAATGAGGTCTGGTGCCCTCTTCTGGCCTGCAGGCATACACGTAGACAGAATATTGTATACATAATAAATAAATAAATATTAAAAAAAAAAGATGTCGAGGCCTTGGATTTCATACCCAGAAGGAAGGAAAAGGAGAAAAGCCCAACTAGCTGAGCACCATGGTCCATGTGCATAGGTTTATCTCCCACGATGCCAAACAGATACTGCTGATTCAATTTTACTGATGTGGAAACTGACTTCAGAGAGGCGGCACAGCCATGGAACAGTTGAGTGTGGGCTCAGCTAACCATATCCTGTTGAGATTTCCGTGTCAAGCTCCCTCCTGTCTGCCCTCTCTCTAGCCTGATCTTATCTAGAGTCAATGTTTTGAAATGACTCCTTGCCCAGATTCCTCTCATGCGTGGAGGTCTGGCTCTCCTTGCCCCATTGACCTTTATGTTGGAGTGGCACCACAATCTTTTTGTGTGTTTGTTTGGTTTGGTTTGGTTTTTCAAGACAGGTTTTCTCTGTGTAGCTCTGGTTGTCCTGGAACTCTCTGTAGCCCAGGCTGGCATTGAACTCAGAGATCTGCCTGCCTCTACTTCCTGAGTGCTGGGATTAAAGGTGTGCGCCTCCATGCCCAGCTGTGGCACCACAGTCTTAATCTGCTCCATCTGTGCTGTCTCCAGTCGGCATCAACTCAGGCAGAGTTGCCTTTATCCCTGGCTCATACCATCCATCTTGCCCCTCCTCCTGTCCTTGTTCCTCTTAAAAGTAACCACATTGCAAATAAGTTGGATTATGTTTCGCTTCTGCCAGGTGCCACCCGGTAAAACTCAATAAAACCGAGTAAAACTCAGGTTCTTACCATATCCTATGTGCTCCTTGGAGTTCATCTCTGCTCATCTCCGGGACTCCACGAGTCTGTACTCAGTGTTCACTCTGTCCTGTGGCACTGGCCTTGCTGCATTTGGACACCTCGCATGTTGCCTCACTGTGTGGCTTTTGTACCTGTTGTTCCTTTGGCCTAGAAAATTCCTACTTGAGTCCCTGTCTAGCTCACTCTTTTCTTTATTCTTTTCAGATCTTTGCTTAAAATTTGCCTCCTTGGAGAGCCCCACCCCCACCACACCCCCAGTTGTTTAACTTTTTTTTTTTTTTCAAAAATTTAAAAAAAAAAAAAAGGAAGAAAGAAAATAAGAAAAATCCCCTTCATCTTTCATAGCATAAGCTCTGTCTTACTCTCGTTTCTGTATTCTAGAAAGACAAGGAGAGCTCAGCGGGTCTGTGGCTTCTGTGTGGTTTACTGCTGTTTTGTGTCTTGCACAGAAATGTAGACAGATAGCAGGAGCTCAGCAAGTCCTTGTTGAAAACATGATTGGAAATGGGCTCTTGTCTCAGCCCTGTCACCCGGTAGTCACCGGTAGCCATGTGCCTGGGCCTCTTACTTCTCTGCCTGTAGCTTAGCTCTCACAAGATGGTGGAATAAAGCCAGGTGCAGAGCTAGCTGGTAGTCCAAGGAGAGCTTCATCCCATGTCCCATCTTTAGAAGCCAGGCTAGATTTGACGTTGCTGAAACTTTGTACCTTTGCCTGATATCCCATGTGGTCCACAGGCCACATTCCACTTTCAGACCCTGCACAGCGATGACGAAGGTGCCGTACTAGATGACAGCCGAACACGTGGCAAGCCCATGGAGCTCATCATTGGCAAGAAGTTCAAGTTGCCTGTGTGGGAGACCATTGTGTGTACCATGCGTGAAGGGGAGATTGCCCAGTTCCTCTGCGATGTCAAGGTATTAGTCTTGGGGTCTGTACATTTGTCTGGCCATGCCCTGTAGCCCCTGCCCTGGCTTAGCCACTCCAGACTAAGCCGGGAGGTGGTGGCACATGCCTTTAATCACAGCACTTTCTTTAAACTGCCACTAGTCTCCTGACTTGCATCCTGGCTACTATTCCATCTTTTCCTGTGCATGAACCAGCCAGGGAACTCATTCTTAAGTGTAATGACCCATAGGACCCATTTACTCACACTTCTGTGGCTCATGGTCACTAGGATGGAGCATATGTGGCTGTGCACATGTCCCTTTGGAATCTGGTCCCTGCTAATGTCTCATGTGCAACCCCTTGTTCTTCCATTTCATTCTTTTCCTGTAGCCTCACATTTCAAACCCAATACCTGGTCACCATCCCTGGGAAACCTGACTGCTAGGGGTTTCCTTGAGCCTCCTCTGGGTCCTCCAGCCCCATACCTGCATGGTCAGGATCTGGCCTTCTCTCTGGTTGCACCTACACCTGATGGGAACTGGCCTCTCCTTTCTCTTGCTTCCAAATGGAGCCAACCCAGAGCGCTATGTCCAGAAACATCTGCATGTGAATGTCTGCTCATCAGTCCACCATATGCAAAGAGCAGTGGATAGTAGGGGAGTCCGTTATGTGATTTCCACCATCTCTGCATCCTTCCTAAGGGAAGAATTCTAGGTTAAGTCTTCTGTTACCATCTTCCTGGAGTTGTGTTTGTTGTGGTGGGGACTGAAGCCAGGTCATTGCACATGCTAGGCAAGTTATGTTACCTCTGAGCTACATACCCAGCCCCACTCTTTAGAAGCAGGTGTTTGTTTTAGGGTGTGTGTATGCCCTGGACTGACTTGGGAACTCCAGGGATACACCTGTCCCTACCTCCCAGCGTTGGATTTGCAGGCACACTGGGACCCACTCAGCTTTTACATGGGTACTGTGAATCTAAACGCAGATGCTCACGCTTTACCCTTTGAACCATCTCCCCAGACCCCTGATTTTTGTTTTGTTTTGTTATTTTGGACCTCTGTACTACCCAAGATGAACCCCTGGGCTCAAATGGTCCTCCAGCCTCAACTTCCTGAGTAGATGGGATAATAGGTACACCAAAGTACCAGGTAGTTTTGGTTTTTTGACTCTTTGGGGACCCATCACCCAGTTCCCCAATAAATATATGGAGACTTATTCTTACTTATGAGTGCCCGGTCTTAGCTTGGCTTGTTTCTAGCCAACTTTTCTAACTTAAATTATCCCGTTTCTCTTGCCTCTGAACTTTTTACCTTTCTTAATTCTATTTATCTCTCTTTACTTCTTACTCTATGGCTGACTATGTGGCTGAGTGGCTGGCCCCTGGCATCCTCCTCTCCTCCTTTTCTCCCCATCCCCAGCCTAGATTTCTGTTTATTCTCTCTGCCAGGCAGCCCCATCTGTTTCTCTTTCCTGCCTAGCTATTGGCTAGTAAGCTCTTTATTAGACCAATCAGGTGTTTTTAGACAAGGGGAGTAACACAGTTTAACAGAGTTGAAACAAATGCAACATAAAAGAATGCAGCCCGTCTTTGCAGCATGAAATATACCCCAGCATAAATGAATGCGACACATCCTAAACTGATATTCCACAACAAGGTGGCTCCTCCGAGGATCGGTTTTTGTTTTTGGAGACAGGGTCTTTCTCTGTAATCCTGGCTGTCCTGGAATTCACTCTGTAGACCAGGAAGGCCTTGGGTTCGCCTGCCAAGGTGTGTGCCACCACTCCCAGTTCTCCTGGGGATTTGAAGTTGCTGCCCTGCTCTCAGCCCTGAGATGAACCTTGACATGACTAGGAGTGGGGTGGGAGAAGGAAGAGGTGGTGCTGGGAACAGGATGTGGTAATGAGCTTGGCTTGTGGGATGCATCCCTAAGGAGAGAAGGGGGAGGGGACAAAGAGGAGAGACTAATATTGGATTTAGGACAGGAGACAGAAGTGAATTGCGGGTCTGTCTGTTTGCGGGCTGGGCAGGTGCTGGATTTGGTGGCCAGAGATCACGGCAAAGCTGAGGGCTTTACTTAGAAAGTACGCTGAGAGGGTAGAAAGGCACCAGAGGAAGCCGGGCAGTGGTGGTGCACGCCTTTACTCCCAGCACTCAGGAGGTAAAGGCAGCCTGGTCTACAGAGTGAGTTCCAGGATAGCCAGGGTGGCACAGAGAAACCCTGGTTTTTGTTTTTTGTTTTGTTTTTTTGGTTTTCCTGGAACTAGCTTTTAGAGACCAGGCTGGCCTCAAACTAAGAGATCTGCTTGCCTCTGCCTCCCAAGTACTGGGATTAAAGTTGTGCACCACCACCGCTTGGTGAGAAACCCTGTTTTGAAAAACAAAAACAAAGGCACCAGAGGGGAAGACCCTCCTGTTTCTGAGCAGGCGCGGCTGGGGCTCGACCAGTTTTTCTTGTCTGAATGGTGATGGTGAGGCTTCTTTGTGCCCAGTGACCACCTGCACACATTGACAGAGCCTCTGCTGCCCTCCTGCAGCACGTAGTCCTCTACCCACTGGTAGCCAAGAGCCTGCGCAACATCGCTGAGGGCAAAGACCCCCTGGAGGGCCAGCGGCATTGCTGTGGAATCGCTCAGATGCACGAGCATAATTCCCTGGGTCATGCAGACCTGGACGCCCTGCAGCAGAACCCTCAGCCCCTCATCTTCCACATCGAGATGCTGAAGGTAAGGCCCCCTGCTGAGGCTGAAGATGAGCCCTCGGCCTACCTCCCCACTGGCTGCTACACCCTGCTGTCCTGAGTTGGTCTGCTGTGGAAAGGGGAAGGATAGGAAAGCTGTGTGGAAGCTCCTAGGGCCCCACACTTCCCCTCAGACCTCAGTGATCACCTCTCTGGGGAGGACTGACATCCACCTTGACTCTTTCATCCTTTGTCCGTGGGCCCATCTTTTCCTTCACAGCTGGCCATGCTTTGAAGGTACTAGGGGTTTAGGTAGTTCCTTTTGTCTACCTAGGTTATTTTGGAACATAAGCTCTACCAAGGCATGGGTGTTTGCTGTGGTCTTAGTGCCTGATGAGTGTGTGCTGGAGACCAGTGACAAATGACTTGGTTTCCAGCATCTGATGTCAGAGACCCAGCCAGCCTAGGGTTTGCTGCCAGTCAGGTTTGCTGCAGAGGACTCTGAGGTGCCACATGGGCTCTGCCTTGAACTCATCCCTGCCCTGGCAGGTGGAGAGCCCTGGCACATATCAGCAGGACCCATGGGCAATGACAGATGAGGAGAAAGCTAAGGCAGTGCCACTCATCCACCAAGAGGGTAACCGGTTATACCGTGAGGGGCAGGTGAAAGAAGCCGCCGCCAAGTACTATGATGCCATTGCCTGCCTCAAGAACCTGCAGATGAAGGTACACTCCAGAGGCTGTGGGGGTGGGGGGGGATGGGGAGAGCCAGGGCAAGGTCTCAACGTCTCCACTTTCCTTGCCCCCAAACACCCCAGGAGCAGCCCGGGTCACCTGACTGGATCCAGCTGGACCTACAGATCACACCACTGCTACTCAACTACTGCCAGTGCAAGCTGGTGGCTCAGGAGTATTACGAAGTGCTGGACCACTGCTCCTCCATCCTCAACAAGTATGACGGTGAGCTCCAGACCCCGTGGCAGTCCAGAGTGGTCTCTTCTCGGGTCTAGCTCTCAGCCTTGACAATTCCCCATTCTGAGCTCCCCACAAGAGCCTGAGCAGAGCCTCTATCCCAGAAGGGTAAGGGATGTGTCCAGGAAGTATGAGTGGCAAATGGGTGGGGCGGTGTTGGGATGTTCAGAGTAGAGCAAATTGCCCCATGGCGGACCCAGGTGCCAGGAGACAGGCTGGCCAGTCTCCTCTCATGCCTTTTGCCAGCCTTCTGCTTTCTGGTGTCCCTGTAGACAATGTCAAAGCTTACTTCAAACGGGGTAAGGCCCATGCTGCTGTGTGGAACGCCCAGGAAGCCCAAGCTGACTTTGCCAAGGTGTTGGAGCTAGACCCTGCCCTGGCACCCGTGGTAAGCAGAGAACTGCGGGCCCTGGAGACACGCATCCGGCAGAAGGACGAAGAAGACAAAGCTCGCTTCAGAGGCATCTTCTCCCACTGACAGGGCAGTCCGCTCTGCCCCGCCCAGCCCACTGCTGCCACCACCTGTCCACCCCCACTGCCACCTCGCGCTTCTGTGTATATAAAGGCCTTATTTATCTCTCTGGTTTGCAGAGCTAATCTGTCCCAGAGGCTGGTCATCACTGGCTTAGTGGAA